AACTTGGCATAGATTTCTCCTACCTGGTATTTGCTTTCTTTTCCCTTTGAGGCCTCTTCCTTTGCCTTGGAAGCTATTCCTTGCTAATTGCTTGCTTTCCCATTTTCCTACAGGGTCTGTTTGTTTATATACATTTTGTCTTAAAATTTAATATGGTCCCCTCTTTTTTCCCCTTGTATGGGGGTAGGAAAAGAATTTGGGGACTAGAGAACTGATGAAAATTTGTGACTAATGTTGAGATTTTTAGTTGGATCTTGCCTCCCCATGAATAATTTTCAGCTATGTATGCCCAGTAGTATTTACTGCTTTTGTTATTTATTTCAAGTGATTTGGCTTTGTCCCTATGTTTTACTGAATGAATTGTTTCTATTTATAACAACATTTACAGATTCAATCTTATAACACTTCTGTGTGATAGTCCTTGCAGTTACCCTTCCCCTCTTTGTTTACTCTGTGTGCACACTATGGCAGTTTATTTGTGGTTGCTCTGCAGTGAGGTAGGTGAGGTGGTGTAGGGAGAATGGGAGGTGGTTGAATGAGTAGTGTTAGACACTGACAGGGAGGCTTGAAGGGAGAATAGTGGTAGGTGAGAAGAAAAGGTTGATGTGGAGTAGTTTTAGAAAAGGTTGATATAATTGGAGTAGGTTTAGTTGAGTTGAAGGGTTAGTATTGACAGTTTCCAGAGGATATTTTCTGGGGCCAAGGGCAAGATTTGGGAGAAAAGCAGTTTAGATTACGGTTGAGGAAAGTTTTGTGGTTGTCAGAACTTGCTGATAAGTAAGATATGGAAGAGCCAAAGGCTTAGGATGGGGAGGATTGAGGATAATGGTAGAGAAGATAGGACTGTGAAGGAGCTAAATATGGGGAATTAAAAAACTTGGGAGAAAGAGTTCACGTGTTTGTTTTTTTGGTATGGGGGATTGTACTTGGGTCCTTGGAATTTACATGTTTGATAAAAGAATAAAGAAACATGTTAATAATATTGTCTTTGGGAGTTTGAGGCTTGGCAGGACACTACTTTTTTCTTCCATGGTGTGAATTTCTTCAGTATAACATTATCCTATTTTCTTCTCTGTCTTTTCCCTTGTGATTCCTGTGTACCTTCTACTCACTTCAATTTCTCTCCGAGCTATTGATTTCCAGGCTCTAGACACTTTTCTTCTGGAGAAGTTAAGTTGCTAGCATTCACTGCCAACCAGTTTGAGACTCCTGTATCTTTATTTGTTATAATTTTGAAATCATTCTTACATGTTCTACTGAGTTTCTTCTGCTTTTGTAGTTTATTTTTTTCATGTACAAAGGTTCATTTACTTAACAAAAATACAGAGTAGTATTATCATGAGTGGGGAGTTTTCTTCTTGGGTTAGTGAATTCTAAAGCTTATACACTTAAAAAAAAAACTTCAGATACTACAAACATCACTTATGCAGAAATAAAGTGACTGTTTTGATTCATAAACCAAGAACTCCTAGGAACCTTTTTTCCTATTACCTATTATTTTGCTCTTTACTTATATGGTATTTCTCATATAGGTGAAACCAAGCAGTGCTTAAACTGTGTGTCTGCTTTATTTCATTTAATGTTATGGTATCAAAAGTGGATCCATTGTTTTACAAGTGACTCAAGCGTATTTTTTATGGTAGAGTAGTACTCTTGGGTGTGCTCCATTATGTACAAATGCCACATTTGCTTCATTCATCTGCTGATCAACATATAGAATTACTTCCAAGATTTAGTTATTGTGAATTATGCTGCTGTCAACGTGGGTATGCATGTATCACTGTAATATGATTTCTTTAACTCTTTGGAAAAGATACCTACAAGAGGAATACAGTAGCTGGGTCAAATAGAATTGCTAGTTTTATTTTTTTGTTTAGACTCTATATGATTTCCATAGTGGCTGTTGTACTAGTTGTATTTCCACCAACAATGTAGAAAGATTCCCTTTACCCTGACAGCATCTTTATTATGATTTCTTTTTTTTTAATAATTTTTTTTTACTATTTGATTTTTTGATGGTTGTTTGTTTGTTTTTCCCCTTAATGTCTTTCTCAGTTCATAATTAGTGTACAGGAATGCTGTTTTTTTGTGTTGATTTTTGTATCCTGTGTCATTACTGGATTTGGTTATTAATTTTGAGTCGTTTGGCAGGTTTTTTTGGATTGTCTGTGTTAGAGGATCATGTCACCTGCGAATGATACTTTGGCTTTTCTGTTCTTTTTCTTGCTTAATTGCTCTTGCTAATGTTTCATATACCTTGTGTACGGCTTTCTCTCTTAGGTGCCTCTCACTCAGTCACTTAGTACATTATTTGTGTACAGGAATGCTGTTTTTTTGTGTGTTGATTTTTGTATCCTGCATCATTACTGGATTTGGTTATTAATTTTGAGTCTTTTGGTAGGTTTTTTTGGATCGTCTGTATTAGAGGATCATGTCACCTGCAAATGATAATTTGCCATCTTGACTCTCATGGAAGTTTTAGAACTTATTTTCCCTAACAACGTTTTTAAAAAATAATTTTTGGGGCGGGGGTGCTGGGGTAAATCCAGAGCCTTGTGAGTAATTGTTCATGCTAATCACACAGGTCTAACACTGAGCTGTCTTCCCCACAGCACCCCTAAATACTGTTAACATCAAGTACTCTAATTGGTTGGCTGGTTGGAATGCAGTTACAGTTGGTTTTATAACTGAAGGGTGCAACTTTGCATTTTTCTTCATTTGATCAAATAGGGAATTTTCCTGGACAGATCATCCTTAAGGTAAAAATTAGCATGTGTATATTATTTTAGAAAGTAATTAGAAAAATTACCTCAGCTATCAGAGGTCAAATTTCAGATGAAGAAATTGGAGATTTCTTTTTTTAAAAATTTTTTATTAGTACATGTTTGTACTGCATAATGATTACTAACACTTTTGGGGGCGCGTACCAGGGATCAAACTTGGGACCTTGGGCTTGCGAGGCAGGTGGCGGCACCACTGAGCTAAGTCCCCGGCCATACTAACTCATCTTAGTTTTTTTTTTTATCCTTCCTCTACCTTACCCTCACCCCCTCCATATCTTGGTCTGTTTTCCTTTTGCAAATATTTATCTGTTGTTATCTTTTATTTTTCTCTTTATGTTTTGGGTTTGTCATATTAAAGAAACCACGTGATATTTAATCTTGTGTGCCTGATTTATTTCACTTAACATTGTGGTTTGAAGTTGCATCTGTTTTCCTAGAAATGACTCAAGTTTATCCTTCTTTTTGGTTCAGTAGTACTCCATTGTATGTAAAAGTACCAGACTATTTATTCATCTGTTAATGGACATATATAGGCTGCTTGTAAGATTTCTTGTGCCTGCACATTCTAAAATGTAGGTGGAACTTTCATTGCAGTCATGTGTTTTGTATCACTTCTAGAACAAATACTGACAATTGAGTAAAAAGTTTTGTCTCATGCATTTCTTTCCTTTGAGTGCCACATTGATTTCCTTTCAGTGTATCAGCGTTCGTTTTTGCCTCTTAGAATTGCCATTTCCTAGTCCTTTAGGCCAGAATAATCTGACTCCTTTCCTATATTTGCTTACCAAATCTAAGAAATTATTTAGATCTTTAATTTCTTTCTTTTCACTTTACAACCAGATACTCCATTTGTGCAAGTAATTCTGCTTGTAATCAGTCTCTCCTCCCTGTAATCCATTCTATACTTTCTTGACATAATGATTAAAAAATATATGTGTACCCCCCCCTCGTTCCCCTACCAGAGACTCCTGCAGTAGTTTCTAGTTCCCAGCTGCCTAGTATACGATGCAAGGTTGAAGAAAAACTTAAGACATAGTGAAAGTGTAATCTGGAATGGCCAGTGCTCCTTTGGTAAAAGGCACTGGCCCCTCTCTTCCAACAAATTTTATTATTCATCAGTCAGGGTAAAGGTGCATTTGTAGATGTGCTGTACGTGAAATTACCATGGAAACTAATGTAGGCAAGGCTTTAAAGAGAAGTCAAAGCATTTTCAAATTAGTAACAAGATAGACAAAATATATGGTTGTAATTAGAGCATTGTCCTTCAGGATATGAAGGCACTAATTGTGGGAATGGAATTTGGGTACAATTACTCCAACCTTAGCTACAGATGTTATCTCGTATCAGCCCCACGGCTTCACAGGCCATTACTCTGGTCTCGGCTGTGGCCATTAGCGGGGAGGTCATGTTAACCTGTGCACTACTGCACTGCTCATGAGATACTTCTGAGAGTCACGTAGCGTCAGATGCACTTCTTAAAGTAAGCCAATCAAAGGATTGAACTCTTTGTAGCCTGCACTGCTTACAGCATATTTTGGGCATAATATTGTGGGCTCTGGCAGAACCCAGGACTTCACACCAGCTAGACAGACAGGTGCTCTGTCATTGAGCTACACCTACAGCCATACATAACTTTTATCATGTTACTTTTATTCAAAAGAATTGTTAAGTTTGAAATAAACTTTCAATCATTAGAGATCTGTCATTTAGCCCTACTTGTTTTGCATTGCTCTGCTTATTTTATGAATCATCACTGTAATTGCTCAGATGAAGTTTCATTTGGGTTCCCATCTCTCCTCAGTGTACACAGATGTACTTTCACTTGTTCCTGTCAGGTTGGCTGAGCTAAATAGTTTCATCTCTTGGTACCGTGTTGCTCTTTGGATACTCCCTGAGTTCTTCACTGCATAACCGGCCATCCTTCTTGAAAACTCCATTCAGGTTCTTCTGTTTTCTCTAGTTTTGGACTGTATTTTTTTGTTACAGAGTTTATTATTAGCCTTTGTTACTGAGTAGCTATATAAAGCTTTTTAAAGCTTTTAAGTAAGACTTTGTCTTCATTGCAGGTGCTATAAGAGTATTGAACTATCTGCAACTGGCTTATACTGTATCCTTTTATGTGTAAAATAATTTGTAATAGTGGGAATTAATTTTAACTGACATTATTTGGAGAAGACAAACATAAAAATACTCAATTGTAATTCATTCTATAGGAAACGCTTTCCCAAGGAGAAATGAAGAAGAAAACTGTGTGTACCCTGCACATGGGAGATCAGGAGTATGAAGATACAGAAGGTAACTTTTCATTTTTATAAAGTTTGTGTGTTGGAAGCAAAACAGTGTTTCCAAGCTGTTCATTTGTATACATGAAAACAATACACACTTATTTTGGTTATATTTAACTTTTTTCCCTTAAAATTTGAAAGAAACCATTGAAGAAGTGTGTATTTTTTCTTTCTCTTTTAATTTTAGTTTTTTTTTTTTTTTGGCTTATTGAACTGTGTACTTTAAAAAAAATGTTGTTGAACTCTGTACTTTATTTTACCTGTTTCAGTTTAACTGCGTATCTAAGCTCTATACTGGCTTAGCAGTCTGTTTTTATTGTCTTTTAGAAATAGCATTAATGTTTTCCTCTGTTCTCCCCCCTCTACTGGAAATGAAACTCAGGACCTTGTGCTTTCAAGGCAGGCATGGTGCCACTGAGTGAAATCCCTGGCCCTCTCTGCTTTTAACTTACTCTTCATTGTCAGTTGAGAAACCTTAGAATACTTCAATACTTATCATCCTAGTTTAGATTTGTAGTTTATAGTTATTATTTTAGTTCTTTTTAAACACTGAAAATTAGATGTTTCATACAATATTTGCTTAGGTTTCTTTTTCCTCTGTCCATTTTTCCTCCTTCTCCTCCCTCCTCCTCCTCTTCCTCCTTCCTCTTCCTCTTCTTCCTTCCTCCTTCTTCCTTCTTCCTGTACCAGGGATTGAACTCGAGACCTTGCGCTGGTGAGGCACGTGGTGGAACCACTGAGCTAAATACCTTGACAATATTATTTAAGTCTTTTTTTGTTTTCTTTCTTGCTGTACAGAAATCTTGGTCCAATTATCATTCTTTTATAGATAAATGTGTCTTTTCCCATGTTCTGCTTTTAGATCTTATTTTCATCTTTGGTATTTTATAGTTACATTGTTTTGCTGCATTGTTTCTAGGTACAGATTTGGGTATTTGCATTTTTTTTCTTCAGCATGCATTGTTTCCTTTATCTGTTAGTTCATGTTTTTAAATTATTTCTCAGCCATTTCCTCTCTTTCTTCTCTTTCATTCTCTTCTGCATTTCAATTAGTATATTAGATCTTGCTTTGTTCTTATCTTTTTTTTTTTTTTCATGATGATGTCTTCTTTTCTTCCTCTTAAAATCTAGCAGTGTCTTCAAATTTGTCTTCCACTTCAAAAGTATTTTCTTCTGGGTCTGACATGCTGTTATTCTGTGTGCTGCTTGTAAGTTATATTTGATGCTAGTAGATTTCTAAAGTTTGTTTCTGGTGATTCTAACTCAAGGTGGTTTGTTTTCTTAGGTTTCATAGTGATAAATTTAATGCATAGATTTTCAATACTTAGAGGTTGTTTCCCATACTGATTTGTTTTTGTTTCTTCCTGGACCCATCCTGTGACAACTTTAGCCTTACTTGAGTGTCTTGGCTTAATCTTGAGTCTTAGTACTTGTATCAGTCTCCCTACCTGGACATCCCTAGTCTCTAGATTTGAACACTGGTATAGTAAACATTTACACCCAGGACAAATCCAGCATTTCCACTTACTTGTTGTATACTGTTCACATTTCAGCTGATCATTCCTTTATATTATTTTTTATTTTTATGTTGAGTTTTAGAGTTTCTTTTATTTGCTTATGAGCCAACAATACATATTTTTTTATAAGTTGGTTGTTTACATTGTTGGTGGGAGTTTATATTAGTTCAAATCATAAAGAGGGTTATTTGGTTATATTTATTTCATATATTCGTGTTACACATGTACACATACATTGATCTCAGCAATTTTTAGGTATTCTGTTGAAATACTTTTAAAACTTAAGTAGCAAATTTTTTTCATTGCAGCTTTATCATAGCCAAAAATAAATGAATGCTCTTCACTGTTTTTGTTTTCTTTTTAGGCAGACTAGTGTGTATAGTGTAGCATATGTGTGAAGAATGAAATATAGAAGAATATAAAGGTTTGCTTTTCTGTGCATTAAAAAATTCTTTAGAAGAACAGAAGAAACTTAACAGTTGTTACTTGTCGGGTTGAATGGACCTGAATGGGTGGGGGTGAATGAGTTGGAGATTGTCACTATAGTCTTTTTTACTTTTAGATTTTTGAGCCATGTGAATATTACTTTAAAATTAAAGTTCATTTTGATCCCCAATTAAATAATGAAGTTGGCTGGAGGTGTAGCTCAGTGGTGGAGTGTGTGCTGAATTCAATTTCCAGAACAGCCCCCATTCATATTTAAAGTAAATGTTGGGGCTACTTGGCTTAAGGAGTATGTCTGTTGTTTATCTAAGCTCTAATCGCTTTGTATTAGACCCTTACCATATTGTCATAAACCCAAGTCATTGGGTTTTGAAGGACCTTAAAGTACATATGTACAAATGGCTATTTTACTTTACAGGTGAAGGAAGCAGAAATAATACTGCTGCCACTGGTCTGTTGTACAACGAAGCAGACAGATGTCCAATATGTCTCAATTGTCTATTAGAGAAGGAAGTTGGTTTTCCAGAAAGTTGTAATCATGTCTTCTGTATGACCTGTATTCTTAAGTGGGCAGAGGTAAGTCTGAGAAGTATTAACTGTGGTTGATACATTGCCATATGTTAGTTCCCTAGCATAAATTTCACTTCACTTAGTCTAGTGTTTTTAGAGTTGATACGGCCTCTAATAAAATATTTCACAGTGCTGTATTTCCCCACTACTTTGGATAAATTTCCGTTTTACTCAGATTTTTATCAGTATATTTTCTTCTAATTGTATTTTGTCTTTTTTTAATAATTGAAGAATTTAAAATGCATACCTTTTTAAGAAAACCTTACAGGGAGAATAGATCAGACTTTTTTCTGAATAATTTTTGTAGAATAATGTCTGTTTATTACTAATGACTCCTCTGCTTTTTGTTTATATTTTTCAGAGAATTTTAACATAGGATATTTTTCTTCTTCTCCTTCACCACCACCTCCACCACCTCCTCCTCCTCCTTCTCCTTCTCCTCCTCCTCCTCCTCCCACCCCCTCCCCCTCTCCCCTTTACCTCTTCCTCTTCCTCTTCTGGAATAACCAGAATAGATATAATAATATCTTTCCATTTTATAGCTGGGGAACTTAGATTTTTTTGTTCTATCACCTGGCTAAGATTTCATAGCTTAAGTGCAGATATAAATTTAGAATTATATTTTCTCATTTGTGCTTTTAATTTACTATGAAGTGATTTAAAAATCTTGAATTAAGAGATTTTACTGAGATATTTCCTAGAGTGTAAATAAATAAGAAACAGCATATTTTGGATTTTTAATGAATTACACCTACTCAGTTTGAATACTTCAAAATAAATATTAATTCATTATAAGCTCTTTTAATAAATTGATAAATAATTAATTGTTTATTTTAATCATGTTGCACTCTGGGTATTTTGTCAATATGTAGAAATTCATAAAAAATGAGATATATCTAAAATACTTGTAATATTAGGTGTTAATAGTAGCAATAAAAATTGTTCATTGTCTCTTAAGTGTATTGGAAATAATTGATTTTATATAATTGGGATTTTCAAAGTTCTATATTTCACTTATATTTTCCTTAATTGTGGGAAGGAGAAATGACTACTAATTTTCTGGCAGAATTCTAGGAGAAGGAATTCCAGAAGGAAAGAAAATATTTGTTACACTAGCTGAATATGAAATAATATACATACAAATTGTTTTAATTTAGAGTAAAACTTAAACTAACCTTTGCCAAGAAGAAACTAAGGAGAGGTAAAAACACATTTTGGGAAAAACTATTTTGAGTTTTGCTGAATTAGTATGATTGGTAAATCAATATTTGCAGGAACATTAATTAATGAAGTAAGAAAACATATTTTTCCCTGCCGGCCAATTAAAGATTTAATCTGATGAACTTAGTGCACATTGGTTGGCTTTGTCATTAATTTTTTGAAAAGAATTTTGCTTTTGGCAGAGAGATAGTGTTGAATGAACAGGACGTTTCATATGGTTGGTTTTCATGATTGTATACATGAATTATGGACTTCAGTAATATACTGCTTTTCTCTAAGGAAATTAGAATCTGTGTTGAGACTGATATGGAACTCACTGTGTAGCCCAGGCTGGTCTCGAACTCACAGTGAACCTTCTCCCTCAGCCTCCCGAGTGCTGGGATTACAGGCGTGTGCCACCATATCTGGCCCACAATCTTAAGTTTTACCATGATGTCCATGTTAATGGGTTTGGGATATATTCTGAGAAGTGAAATTGGTAGATTATAGACTACACATATTCAACTCCACTAGACAGTGCTAAATTTAATTTTTTTAACCCTATTGAATTTTTTTGTTGTTGAAAATACTTGATAACATACATAGTGCTGAAGTCAATACCTTTTTTGTATGTACTCTTTTCCTTGCTTTGTATTCCTTTGAATAGGTACATTTCATTGAAGCGAAATTGCTTTTCAAACCAAGTATTTATTTGCTGTGTACTACTGTCTTAAATTTTGATAACAGGCTAGGCCCAGTTGGATAGAATTGTGGTCTTGTTTAAACAAAGTTCTTATCATAGTCACATTCCTCATCACTGGACACAATGCCCAACAGCTGCACTTTAAAGGAGGAAAGGTTTAATTGGCTCATGATTATTGTAGAGATTTTAGTCCATAGGAGGCTGGCTGCAGGTCCAGATGGCAGGGCAGAGGAGAGCTGCTTGTGGTGTGATAGGATAAGAAGCAGAGTGTGATGGGAGGAGTGGGTTGGGGTGGAGATGCATATACCCTTCCAGGTCCTGCCTCCAGTGATTCACCTCCCACACCAGACCCCACCTGGCAAGCCAGTTGTATATTGCCCCATAATCCAGTCATTTTCTAAATACATGAGGCTTTGGGGGCCATTTTAGCCCCCGATTTTTTTTTTTTTTTTTTTTTTTTTTTTTTTTTTGTACTGGGGATCAAACTCAGGACGTTGTGCTTGTGAAGCAGGGGGATGGCACCACTGAGCTAAGTTCCCAGCCTTTGGGGGCCCATTTTAGATCTAAACCATAGCAGTGATTAACCTTGAGAGGGGAGACTAAACAGAACATTCTGGTTTCATCATCCCTAATGGGGATAGCAACCATCAGTTAAAGTTGAGTGAGGAGTAACAGGAGAGCAATCCAAAAAAAGGAAAGAAAAAAAGAGGACAGTCCGCCAATAAATTGTTCATTATAAATTATCAAATGAATCAGTGCTGGTTTACAAAGTCACTTAGACTAAGTTCTCAGTTAAATCTTTGACTATGATAAAAATTACATATGTGTTTTAAAGAGTTTATGTGCTGTGGCAGAATCAGATTTCATATTCCCTAGGCACAGGCTTTTTTTTTTTTTTTCATTGTCATTAAGATCTTTCCTCTCATTTTCTTAAACTTTTGTTAAAAAGAAAAGTATACTGTTTACTACAGATTCAGGATTAGGAATTAGTATATACTCAGTTTCTTGTTGGGGCATAGTTTATGCTAAGGTTTTCTTAAACATTCTTCCTTTTAACTTTATTTAATTCACTATCTTACTGTTTATTTGATATGCAAGGTAGGGATTGTGAACTGTGAGAGTAGTAATTTGTTTCCGGACACCTCAAGCAATAGCTTAAAGATAAAATAATTTTTTAAAAAATTGACCCATAGGTAAAAATTTTAATAATGTTCACTTCTAGTAGAAGAGTAGATAAAAAGTGAAATTTATAGTGGTTAGGCTCTACATAAGAAAACAGCACAAAATATATTCGAGATCATCATTCTAGGTTCCATAGAAATACACCTGTGTTGAAATTTAGAGTCAAGTTTCTCTAAGATAATATTCGTGAGGCATATCACATTCCAAAGGGGCTAATTTTACTTTCATCTTAATATTTTAGGTATTGAAAAAATTATTGTAGGAAGCCAGTATTTAGAAAAGTGAAACTATATTGTCGTCTAGTATATTTATTTTGGACACATTTCTGAACACTTTCATGCTCTTGAAATATCTGTCTTCAAAATCAAAGTTAGTTTCTTTATCTTCACACTCCGAAATCTTGGCTCTGTGATTATTTAAACAAAAGCTGTGTAAGGACTTGAAAATGGTTATGTAACTGAACTTTTGTCTCTCAAGTCTAAGTGTGCCATGGATTCCACTTTACCTAAGGTAGAAAGGTAAAAGGATTCAGCATAATGGAAACTGTGTTGGCCTTCACACCCCAGAGTATAATTGCTTGCCTTTAGGGACACTGGGACAGATTAAAGCTAAGCATATTCACTATGACTGCATTTGGTTTCAAGGACTTCATAGATAGCCTGTTAATTTGTAGTACTATAATGATAATATGAGAATAGAATATTGAACAAAGCTGATATAATTGACAGAGTGAAAGTTTGATTAATTTAAATCCTCACTCTTAGAGCTGAGAATCTGAAATTAAAAGGCCATTGATAAACAAACATATACATGTTTGTTTGTTTCTTTTCTTTCACTACTGGGGATTGAACCCAGGGCCTTCTCATTGAGTTACATATCCAGCCCTTTAAAATTTTTTGAGGTAGGGTTTTGCTAAGTTACTAGGTTGCCCAGGCTGGGTTTGAACTTGTGATCTTCCTGCCTCAGCCTCCCAAAGTACTAAGGTTCACGAGTGTAAACCCTAGCTCTGATGAAATACTTAATAGAGCCAGTGTATTAAATTTTTATTAGTCTTCAGTTAGGAATTTATTTTACTGTACTCTGAGTAAAAACACAATCTATATTTAAGAGTTTTTACCTTACATAAATTTAACCTTGCCAGGCATGGTGGCACATGCCTGTAATCCCAGCATTCTGGGAAGCTGAGGCAGGAGGATTGCTGTGAGTTCAAGACCAACGTGGGCTACATGGTACGTTCAAGGCTAGCCCGAGTTACTTAGTAAGACCATGTTTTTTTAAAAAACAAAACAAAACACAAGATCCCAATGATAAATGTAACTCTACTCTGTATATCTAAAATGTACCAATAAAGAAAAAGGAAAAAAAAAACCCATAAATTTAGTCTTGATTATGAGTCTGTACTTGTAAAACAGATATTTGGAAGTGAAAGATAGAAAAGTCTGCCACATGTATACCAGTAGTGACAGCTGATCATATATTTCTCCATGCACACACAAACTAGATAAGGCAGGAGTTATTATTTGGCACAGTTACTAAAAAGTGGTTAAAATTGTAGCCTTTAAAGGGTTAAGGTTTGGGAAACTCATTTCGTATTTAGAGCCTTAAGAGTTCTTACTGTATTTTCTCTGAGGCTTGAGAGATTGAACCCAGAGCCTCACATTACGCATGTGATCAACTACTGAGTTATACCTTTAGCCCCACTATATATTAAAAAGACATACAGTGTATGTCATTAGGATGTTCTTGATGTCTACTGAGGTTCTTTTATCTTTTAAGTAATATAAAATATTTTCCTTTAAAGTATTTTTTAAACATGATTATCTGTCTCACTTTAGATAAATTATTTTCCCTGAGCATATTTATCTTAGTACTCCCTTTTGTATTAAATGCTGACAGTGTCTCTGGGAGAAAGTAAGGTTAATGAAATAAAAATTAGACAGTTGACAAAGGCATGCTTTTAAAGAGTCATACCAAAGTGACATAACAAGTCATGACAACAGTGTTGAATACAGACATGTGAAGAGTATGTTTTAAAATTAATACATAGTAAAATATGAGTAGTTGATTACTGATAATGTTTTCTGTAGATTGTGTTCCTTTATTCAGTAAGAGGAAATTTTGCATATTATTCTGGTAATTAGATTACTTTTCATTAGTATAATGGTTCAGCAAAACTTTATTGTCTGTGTTTTTTTCTACATTTTTCCTCAAATTTTAGTTTAAAAAAATTTTTTTTCTGAACTAACCCAAACTCTCTTTTATATAGTTATCTGTGAACAATAATTTAAACATATTTTTGGAGTACCACAAACATTAGTCCTTTATAAAATACTATCAGATACATTATTTCATTTAATTATATTATACTAGTGCAGTAGATGGTTTAGGAAGATTGCTAGTTTTGACTCCTTTAAGTCCACTACAGTTTTTACCCTGTGAATTAATCCTTTGTAAATCCTTTGATAGAGCAGAGTATTGCAGAATATTTTTACACTGTGGATGGCCTACCTAAAGAATGTATGTGAAGGTTTTAATTTAATATTCTACTCACCAGTTGAGTAAATTTCCTGGGTAGCCTAATTTTAAATGTTAGAATATGTAAAATGATTTATGTGGGTACCTTATTAAGTTTTTTGGATTTTTTTTTAACAAGAAAAAGTCTTAACTATTAAATGTCAGAAGAAATTAAGATCAGATATAATGCCACCAAGCTGTTTCAGTGTATGTTACAGAACATGAAAGCATTCCATTTGAGTCTAGAAAAAACTGTTCTTGGTGTTAATTTGGACAATGACAGCCATTAGGAAGACTGATATAAAAAGAACCATAGTTCTACTAACGTGAATTGACATGGGCTGTCTTAAAAGAATGTTTAAATGTGATAGGGACGATGTAGGCTGACTACATGTGAACAATTACTTTTGAGGTCCTGGTTAGGTGTCTTGGAATCAGGACAAAAAAGATAGGTCCTGGGAAACAGCTTTAAAACAAAGCATTAACCTCTGATGGTATGCCTTCTAAATCATCTTTGACTTTGAATTGCTGTTTTGTAAATATGATTCACTTGTAGTGGGAGAGAAATTCTAGTGATTCCCACAACAGGAAAACCTACCTATAAGCGTAGGTACTGAGTTTCAGTCTTTAAGCACTTATTCTTTAACACTTGCTTCTCTCTCTCTAGGAGGGGCTATCTATAGGCAGCCTATGATTGAGGATAGAGCAGCAGCAGGAAGGAAGGAAGAAATATTAGGAATCAAGAATCCTGAATTCCCAAATAAGGAAGGTTTCCTGTTCTTACATTTAAATATGAGTTTGTCTGAGCTGGGAATTTACAACGCTTCAGAATTCTAGGGTATGTTTTATTGAAATCGTTAGGAAGATTATTCTTTTCTATTAAAATTGCCTTCTTAACTAATATAACTGGTACAGAGCATTCATACTGAAACATATGCTCTGGTTTTTAGTACACATTACACTGTAGTAAAGCCGTGAACAGATTCTTATAATTTTACAGCTGTATGATAAAGTTGAATTGTGTTTTTTTAAGATTTTGATTAGGAAACTAGAAATTTTAGAAATTATTGAAAGTCTTAAGTAGATGATAATTGAAGGTATTTTGTTATATATAAGGAATAAAATGATTAATTGAATTTTTGTGTATAAGGAAACAGAATTAATAATTGCTTTAAAACTAAAATCACTTTAAAAAACAAGTATATCAAAATTTTTCTATATTAGTTTTAAATATGAACTTTTAAAACCTCACTCATTGGAAATTTAACCAGTTATTTTAGAGAAACAAATTTTACCTTGAAAACTAAACCTGAAGTATCTTTGGAGTTTTCTGAATAGATTTATGCTACATGTAATTGACTAAGTTCCCTTGGGATTGCCTTAAGATTAGTTCAGTCAAAAATTCGTTAAAAATCTTTGAAAAATATTTTTATGCCATGTAGTTTATCATTTGATGCTTTGGTAGCTACTTATATATTTTGGTTTGTGTTAAAGTTGCCTTCAAATTTTCCTGTAGTGTAGATAAGAAAAAAAATCTAAAAATCTACTTAATTTTTATGTGTTTTGATTTCTATTGATTTTGTTAATCTATGAAGATAATTGAAGATCACTGCATTTCCTTTCTTTTTCCTCTCTTCAATGCTTTGCAACACTTTTTCTAAGATTAGAAATGGACAGCATTGTTTTGTAGCCATAGCAAAGCTGTTTTGGTTTATAGTTGGTAGTATGTTTTCTGACCTATGTTTTCCTACCTGGGGAAGATAACTCAATTTTCAGAATTTTTTATGTTGGATGAGGCTGAGCCAAAATGAATTATTTTCTAATGTTAACTAAATTATCTTTAGGAAATTGAAGTATGTACAGATTATGATAATATATGATTGTAGTTTTCTGACTACTACTTTTTTCTATCTTTTGTTTGTTTTTGTTATAGTAGTGAAGCCATTTCTTCAAATGAAACTTTAGACAGATCCAAAGCAGTTAAGCCTAAAGAGAAAGAGAATGAAAATCCTACCCAGGACCCAAATATTTGAAACAATCAAAATGGAATGGTTCAGGTTAAAGCTATGTCACACCATGAATTGTAAAGGAAAAGAATTCCATTTAGCTGATGTCATCAGAGGAAATTTAATAAAAATGAGAATGTATAACTTTAGTCATTGAAATTAATGATAGCAAATTTCTTGAACACAGGTTTTCTTTGGGTCTTTGTGTTTTGAGTTGAAATAGAATAATGTAATTTTCACATATATTGTGAAGTTTGAAAATTCTAATAAAAATCATTAAAAAGTCATGTTTCTCACACTTCATATTTTTTATTAACCAAGTTTTTTGTTAGTGTGATTAACAAAATTAGTGGATGTTGTTTACCAGACCTTGTATAACAGTATATGCCACACATTATTCTAGGCGTTATTTAGTTAATTCCTGTAAAAACTGTATGGATAATTTTAGTTCCCGTTTTTACAAATTAGGTAATTGAGGCACAGAGAGGCTGCTTAACTTTGCTCAAGTTTAAACAAAAGGCAAAATGTGAAAGTAGATAATAAAGAGACTCTATGCATCTTAATTTTTAGGCAGACTTGGAAGGAAATTTTTATTTATTAAATCATTTTATGAATGTTCATGCAGATTTACCTTTAAAATAAAGATAAATATTCATAAACTTTGGTAAAAATGGAAAGCACTTGAATGATTTTACTTTTAAATATTCTTTTCTATTATAAATGTGGTAATATAACCTACCTAAGAAGTTTCATATAGCATATGCTAGGCCATAAACAGTAGTCACATACAGTTAGAATGTTGAGTCCTTTGAAGTAGCATTGCTGTTTGTAATGTGTTATTAAAAGTGGTGGACTGCTTTGTTACTTTTGTAGCAAGCTTAGGGTTTCTGCAGGGCAAGTAATAGTTTACCAAATTCTTAGTATGTGGAAGTAGCTGATCTATGCCAGTGTGAACTAATTTATTAAGTAAGGTCGCATTTCCTGTTTTCCTATCAAGGTATGTTTTCTTAATAGGGAAAGAAATAAATGCTTGATCTTACTCATATAAAAGAAAATATAAACTAAATCTACAGTGCTATATACCATGTTGTTAAGATTTACCAACATGGACCATTCTAAGATATATAATTCAGAAAAAAGTAAAATTAAAACTAGCATATGAATTATATTACAGAGATGGATGTATAGGTATCTAATATTTGCAAAAGGATATGCTGGAGAGGCTATATAAGGACTATTCTGTTGAAGTTTTCAATGGGGTGGCTAAGTGGAGGTAGAGTAATGCTTCATTTTTCCATATCTTTTAAATATTTTTATTGCAGACACAGCTGCCTATTCAGAGTAATTAATTTTTTGGTAAAATGTTAAGTCATAGACTTACAATCTGTAAAGGACCTATCCAAGCCATTCCTTTTTCAGCTGAATTAGAGCTGCCCAAGCTTTATTGCAGTCTCTTTTACATCACAGGGCAGAGGATTTCAGCCTAGCTTTCATTATACCAGTAGTTCTCAGTGGAGCAGCAGGACTTAATGTGATATTAAAAACAGAGATACTAGCTCTCTTGTTCATCATTGTATTCCAATTATCTGACATACTGAGTAAATATTTGAGTGAATAAAACAAATTTAAGATATCCTGTGGCATGAAATAGGCCAAGAGTATTTCTTTTCCTTTATATTTGAAAGGAAAAAATATTTTTCTTTCATTGGACAACTTTTTACTGTATTTGTTATACTTTAATGTGGTATGTCCTAAGGAAACATTTGTAAAGATATAATTTGTTAATCATTTTTCAGACACTGGCTTCATGTCCTATTGACCGAAAACCTTTTCAGGCAGTGTTTAAATTCAGTGCTTTGGAAGGTTGTATTAAGGTAAGTCTTGTCTTACTTTGCAGCATGAAATATGTAAAGTTAACCGAGGCTTTTTTACTTTGATAGGTTTCCAGTTTGTGTGTATTTGAAAATTGTTCATCTTTAGGCTTAGTGTCATTCCTTTTCAACATGACAAGCTCAGACATTTCAGCAAAGTTGTGGAAATCCTATTTGTTTCCTAAAGAGGGCATGTCTGTAGTAGTATGTTATGATGCTGCACGATTTTAAAATGTGTTAGACTTCTGATGCTCTAGAAGTTCCCACTTAATTATAGAATACTTAAATATTTAGTATATTTCCTGTATTTCAGAAACATTTATTAGTTCAATAGCACTTTAAATACGTTTCTATTGAAAAAACGTTTAGAGTGTTAGATTTAAAGACTGACTACCACAAATATTTAAGTCTAAAATACCCGAAAACTGCTGGCATGGTGGTGCACATCTGTAATCCCAGCACTAAGGGAGGCTGAGACAGGAAGATTGCCATGAGTTCGAGGCTAGCCTGAACTAGTGAGAGCTTGTCTCAAAAAAATTAAAAAAATTTTTAAAGACCCTGAAAACTATATTTTTTATGAAAAACATAATTGAAACTAGACAATAAAAATTAAATATAAAATGATGTCTTGGTCTTAAATACTGGTTACCTCATTGATATCACTTTATGAACCATGATTATGATTTTTTATTGATGTTGATTTTTCACTTATAAAAAATTAGGAACATATTCCTGAGTTACTAAAAGAGGAAAACAGAAAAGGATAGTATCTCAGTTACTTTTCTCTCATTGCTGAGACAAGATAACCTGACACCCAAAGTTAAAGGGACAAGGGTTTATTTATCTCATAATTTGTAGATGTTTCAGTCCATAATTGGCTGGCTCCAAGGCAGGGTGGCAGAGGGGCAACAGTTCATGGTGGGCAGACAGTAGCAGAGCAACAAGGGCCTCAGCAGTCTTTTCTTGCCCCTTTTATCTTATTCAGACTACTTAAGGGCAAGTGTCACTCGCCATACCCTTAATCCTAGTATCCCTGGGAATCAGTCACACACTTGAGATTCACCTACCTTTGAAAAAGCCATCTATGATCACATGAGGCTTTGGGGGGACATCTAGACCCAAACTATAACATAGTAAAGTAAGATGTATGAGAAATAAAAATTCACTGTATGAGAATAAATGATAAATAACTAAAAATGAGCATATTTCTAGGTGGTGTGTGTATGTGTATGATGTGTATATGTGATGCCATTAATAGGAGATGAATAGTAGTACACTACTATTTGTCTGTAATAGTTTGGTCACTGGAGGAAAGGAAAGGGTACTTAAGCATTAGTCGTTCTCCTTGTAGATATTTATAATTTGTTTTGCTGTTTTTATCGGATGAGCCTTGGTGAGGTACAAACAGGACTGCATTTCAGATAAAATAATTATATGAAAAAGGACCTGGCTTGTATGTTTCTTTGCCACTGAGGCAAATTAGTATGTATCAGAGCAAAATATATAACATTAGCGATAATAAAGTGGCTTCTCTGGAAGACATATTGACTATTTTTTCAGACTACTTGTATAAAATTATATTGCTAGATTTATTGGTGTGAACTAAGCTTTCAGAGATACTTTGTTAATTAGAGTCAAAGTTTGCATTTATTTAATAGGGCTTGGATATTACTTATAAATTTGGTACAATGCTAATCCAGTTATTTATAAGTTAAAAGGTATCTACTTTTAAACATTTGCCATATGAGATCTACATTCTTTTAATATCTTTCTGTGACCCTGCTTTTGAATCTCCATTTACCTCTTTTCTCTTTACAGCTACACTTCTTGAATGAGGCCACTCAATTCACTTCTCAGCTCTCATTGAGCATTCACTTCCATCATCTTGTTTTACTGAAATGGTCCTAAGTCCTGAGTAGTCTTCTGACTTCCAGATCCCATTGTTTTCTATGTATGTTGTTGACTACCTTCTTTTTCCTTTGGACATCCTTTTGTGTGAATGTATGTATTTTTGCTTTATCTATATGACTTCTACAGTCTTTTTTGCCAGGTCCCTCCCTTTTCCTTTTTCAATCACAGGATCTTCATTTCAATTACTTGGGTTTACTCTCTCAGTCTTCTCAACTACTTTAATAGATTTAAGTACTACCTATGTTGGGATTACTTCTAAAATTCTATCACTAGTTCATTTCTCTTTCCCGAGAATCAGACCTATAGTTTTAACCACTTTGTTGCAGATCTCCATCTAATAAACCTTTTAAGAAATCTTAAGCATTAGCAAATTCAAAACTCGTCTCATTCCTCACCCTCTTTCCAAACCCTATCATGATTGTTGATGTAGTCACTCATCTCTTTTCTCCCTCATCATTTCTTCTACTTAATGTGTTCCGTTGTTCCTCTGCTATTGCCTCTGTAGGCCCTCATGTTGTCTAGATTAGTTCTGTCCAATAGAAATGGATTAGAAATCACTATATAAACATTTCAGTAGGCACACTAAAAGGAAGCAATTAAAATAAATTTTAATGATTTTATTTAATGCAACATATAATATGTAAAGAATTATTACTAAGAAACTTAATTTTTTTTTTTTTTTTTTGGTACCGGAGATCAAACTCATGTCCTTGTGCTTGTAAGGCAGGCGGTGGAACCATTGAGCTAAATCCACGGCCCTTAATGTTCTTCTTTAAGTGTGGTTGGAGTAAGCACATCTCCATTCAGAGAAGCCATATTACATGCACTCAGCAGCCACCTGTGACTAGTAACTATCATGTTGGTCAGTGTAGATCTAGATACTATGTAAGTTTTCTTTCTGGCTTTCTGACTTTTATAGCTTTTACTTAACTGATTCATTCTCTACATCACTGTTAATGTTAATCTTCCTGAAAAGAACAAATGTGATAATTTCATTCACTTGTTTTTTGTTTTGTTTTGTTTTGTTTTTTTGTACTGGGGATCGAATTCAGGATCTTGTGCTTACAAGGCATGCATGGTGCCACTGATCCCCAGCCCTCATTCACTTGCTTTAAAAACTCTTATTTATTCTCTGATGCTTGTGGAATTATTTTCTTGTTCAAAGACTGTTACAGCCTGGTCCTAACACATTTCATCATCACATGTTGTGCTTTTCTTCCCCATCTAGATTGGCTTCTTACTGTTCCTAAAACTGTGCTGTTTCCTGCAATTAGAAAGTTTTTTTTCTTTGGCTGTTCTCGTTTTTAAAAACCAAGTCATAAATCAGTCCTTTCTGACATCCTCTGAGTTAATTTCTAAGTCCTTTGTGTACAAAAATTTCATTTCTACTTTACCTCCCCCCAACCCTTTCTTTGTTTTGATGGGCTTGAACACTAGGTCTCCTGCTCTTCCACTGAATTATACATACAACCTCTTGCTTAATTTATTTATATGCCACATTTCTTACTATTTTGTTCCCCAGAGGTTAGCATACTTTACTGAGTTTGTAAAGGACAATTAAAAGGTTATTGTTTATAATGTTGGCTTATCATTCTAAGATGATTTTGTTTTTTTATAGGTTCAAGTAAAAAGACAGTTGAGAGACACAAAGGAAAAGAAAAATGAAATCTCTCTTAAGAAACAGCTATCCTGTCATGAAAGATCTGAAGGCCTCCTTCTAAGGTTAGTGATTAACTTTAGAAGTGGTGTCCACATAAGTAAAACTAGAAATAAGCTAATACACACACAAAAAATGTGAGCTTAAATTGCATTTACTTCTTTGAAAGCACACACCTAATATTTTAATGAAGGATCAGCTAAAATCTAAGAATATAATTTCAGTTTTCAGTTTTATATTTGGTGAAGAGTTGGGTTTTTTTTTCCCTTAGTTTTTCTCCCCTGATAGACTCTGTGGACCAGAACTTTTGTAAAAACCAACCCCCCCCCAAAAAAAAGCAAATTTTAAAGAAGTACGCATTTTTGTTAAAATTTGTGATTGCTTACTCTTACTTTGTACCTGTTACAAACCAGTTACATACAGTTAGTTAATGGATAAGCACTGATGTTCAGATTACACTTTGAATGGCATCTGGACAAAAGATAGTAACTAATGAAATGACAGGGTTCTTCATGAGGCAGTTAAGGTTTAAACTACTTTTACTCTTGCTTCTTTTTTGTTTTTTTGAGACAGGGTTTCACTAAGTAATTGAGACTGACCTGGAACTCACTATGTAGCTCAGGCTGGTCTTGAACTCACAGCAATCCTCCTGCCTCAGCCTCCGAGTGCTGGGATTAAAGGCGTGTGCCACCACGCTTGGTTTACACTTGCTTCTTTAGTTTTATCAGTCTTTCTGCCTGCCTTCCTGCCTTCCTTCCCTTCTTCCCTCCTTCTTCCTTGACTCCCTGTGGGGAATGAACCCACAGCCTCATACATGCAAGAGTTCTACCAGTGAGCTATGTCCCCAGCCCTAATTTAAGCTTATTTTATTTATTTATTTAATTAATTAATTTATTTTTTTGGTTTTTTGAGACAGGGTCTCACTATGTAGTTGAGCCTGACCTGGAACTCACTATGTAGCCCAGGCTGGTCTCGAACTCACAGCGATGCTCCTGCCTCGGCCTTCCGAGTGCTGGGATTACAGATGTATGCTACTATGTCAGGCTAAAAATTTTAATTTCCTAAGGCAATATTTGTAGTTATTAAAACAATTTATAGTAGTCTTTGAGATTTATTGGTACTAACTTTACTGCTACTAAATTTCTTTTTTAAACATTTCTTTTTTTTGTCCCGGTGATTGAACTCAGGTCCTTGCGCTTGCAAGGCAGTCCACCAAACTGCTGAGCTAAATCCCTGGCCCTAAATTTCTTAAATATTAACTTGTGAGTAGTTTTGGATTTCTTTGAAAATGTGAAGAAAGTTACAAATTCCTTATTCTAAAAAAAAATACATTTATAGACAAAACTTTATATATGAATTTAGAGTATTCATGGAATAGAAGCCCACTTATAAGTGCCAAAATTAATTGCATTAGAGATAATTTTATAACTTTCTGAATTGGCTTTGACTATTTCATTTACTTTGTGGTGTAGTGGTAGTATACTTTTTTGTTGTTGTTGTTTTTTGTTTTGTTTTTGTTTTTTTTTTGAGACAGGGTCTCACTATGTAGTTGAGACTGACCTGGAACTCACTACGTAGCCCAGGCTGGTCTCGAACTCACAGCGATCCTCCTGCCTCAGCCTCCCGAGTGCTGGGATTACAGGAATGCACCACCAAGCCTGGCTAGTAGTATACTTTTTAATGTGGTGTTGGGGATTGAACTCATGGCTTCACACATGCCAGGCAGTTGCCCAATCACTGAGCTGCGTCTATAGCCTCATAGCTTCATCGTAACTCCTACCACTGACTATGACAGTGTCATGGATGAGCATTTTTCTGTACCCACAGAATTACCTGATTCTCCTGAGTCTTTTATTTATTTATTTGTTTGTTTATTTATTTATTTATTTTCCTTTTTTTTTTTTGGTATCAGTGATCGAATTTGGGACCTTGTGCTTATGAGGCAGGGAACAGCACCACTGAGCTAAATCCCTGGCCCTTGATTCTCCTGATTTTTTTTTTTTTTTTTTTTTTTTTTTTTTTTTTTTTTTTTTTTTTTTTATTCTCCTGATTCTTGATGAGAGTGTAACAGTCATCACTACGTGACCTGTGAGGCCCATATATTATTTTTTGAGACAGGGTCTCCCTATGCAGTTTAGTCTGACATTGAGCTGACTCTAGCCCAGGTTAGTCTCAGACTTGTGACTAACTTTATTTTATTTCCTCCTGCTTTATTTTCCTGAGTGCTGTGCTCACAGGCATGCACCACCATGCCTGGTACAAGGGTCAAACCTTATTTGAGTCTTATCATAACCGAGCTGATCCACATGACATACTGTTTTTTCTCAGAGATTTGTCGTAGAGGGTTGGCATAGGGAAATAATACATGCAAAATAATAATTTGCATTTGCCCTCTAAGTGATACCCTCAATAATTCTTCCCAAAGTGGAAAATCTCTCTTAACTGGATATTCACAGTATCTTCTTTTTGGAGTTTTTTGGTTATTTTTAGCATTCCTGTTATTCAATCTTCTGCATGTGCCTATTCTCTCCAGCACACATTCAAGGTCCAGTTAGATTTACTTCTCCTTTTTAAAGCAGTAAAATCCCGATACTCCTCTCTGATATTTCTACCAGTTCCAAGTAAGAGAATGTAGTGGAACTTTTGTCTGTAGTAAATCTCCATTTTAAATAATCAGAGCAGGGAATGTCAGAGAGTGCAGACTGGCAACTAGTCATGCTTTCTGTCCTTTAAAGAGTAATGTCTGCTTACATCTATTCTTCATGACTCAGTATCCACTCATGATTAGCCAACAAAACTGTTGTTTAAATACAGAGATGATACTACTCATTATATATAAAAATGTAGCTTAGCATTCTGATAACTTATGGGAGTCTACTAGAGTACTATTTTAAATATTTACCAGACGTTAAGGATAATTAATAAAATTAATGCATAATAGATTTTGTTTTGATGGACAGTGAATTGAAAATAAATGAGCAAAATGATGGTTTTTCTCTTAAATCTTTCAAATCTTTATTGATAATTGCAGCAAAAAGGCCATCATAAGAGAAGATCTGTTAAGTGCAAGATTTTATGACTTGACTCTGATACATAGTAAGTGATTTTTTTTGTTCGTTTGTTTGTATCTTTGTTGTTGTTTAATGCTTGTGCCAAAGTTCTCATGAGCAATATTTTGGTATGGAAAACAGTTGAGCACAGAATTGTGCATTGAGTACATTCTATATAAGCTTTGCTTTTGAAGAGCCATTTATATTTTTCCCTCCTCTTCTTTCCTGTTTGTTCAGCTTGGAGGAAGGGATGGGAATAGAGGGGCGCAGTGTGTGTGTGTGTGTGTGTGTGTGTGTGTGTGTGTGCGCGCGTATGGGTGTGTGCATGTGCACACATGTGAGTGTAGAAAAGAGCATTTCTCAGTGATTTGGTATCTAGCAAACTGTGTGGTTGTCTTAACACCACTATTTAGCACTGGTGTCCTTGGTGAAGATGGTAAAAAGAATTAATAATTGTGAATTAATAACTGTAAACAGTAGCAATGGTAGTCAGGAACGAATTCATAATTCCTGGAGGCAATTGTAGCTTGGCTTTAGCCACCTTTAGATTTGAAACTTTGTTTGGATAGAAAGCACCTCTACCATATTATTTACAAGAGTACTTAAATATTCCTGTCTTTGTGTTTGCTTTGTAATTCTGAAATTCAAGAAAGCTTTGTAGCAGGGCTTGAATAAAAGGACGTCATGTAGTGTCCTGTGACTTCCTTTGGGTTTAGGTTGTTTATTCCATTCTTGAGAACACCTTCCTGTAAGTTGTTTATAAGCCAGGAGGTGGGCATTTATTTTGTAGGCTAGCCAAGTGATATATGACTGTGTGTTGTATTTCAAGGGTGAAATGAACTGAATGTGCTGATGAATTGGACGTAGAGTATATGGGAGGGAAAAGTCAAGGGTTACTGCAGGATCTTGACCTGAGCAAGTGAAATGAGTGTTGCTATTAGCTGAGATGGGGAAGGCTTAGGAAGGTGTATTAATAACTCTCTTTTGGGGCTGGGGATTTAGCTCAGTGGTTCTTTCGCCTGCCTCACAAGCACAAGGACCTGAGTTCAATCCCCGGTACAAAAAAAAAGAATTGTCTTTTGAAGTACAGTGATGGTTGCAATGCCTGGTGGTGGGGCATAGGGAAATATCAGTCAGAGGACACAGTGGTTCACATAAGCAGAGTGAATCTTCTGGAGACTAAATTACAACAGTTTGAACATAGTCACCAATACTGTATTGTCCACTTGGAATCTGTTAAGACAGTAGATCTCAAGTTTTCTCATTATGAGGGGGTGGAAATGGTAGCTGTGAAATGAATATATTAGTTTGATTATAGGGATTATTTCACAGTGTATATTGTATCGAAACATAAACTTTTTTGCACATATGATGTCTACTTTACCTCAAATAGAGATCCTCTGAGAAATGTGGTTATTTGTGTATCATGTATAGGTAAGATGTATTCATCTTCAGGTTATTTTAGTTATAATAAGTTTATTGATATGTTTTTATTCATGCTTGGCTCCTAAATTGAAGATTTATTCTAATTACCATTTATTTCATTACTCTTGAATTTAGGCATGTTTAAGATCATGGTGATCAGAAATAATACTGGAAAGGAGGATTGAAATCCTAGTTCTGACCAAAACAACTAACATTTTATATTATACCATAAAGGCTAATTCAAAACAAAACAAACACCAAAGTTTTTGTTTTTCATTCAAATACAATGTAATGTAGCCATTTTATGAGAATTAACATAGCAAAGATATTCCAAAGGGATAAGATTATAGTAACCTGCCAGAAAATCTAAAGCAGTCAGAAGGAATAAGCCAACTCTGTTCTGAGATTATGGTGCTCTTTGTCTTCAAGACTCATTTAACTTGTATGTGAGCAATACTGAGGAATCAATTTTCTCACATTTTAACATCTCTGAAATGAAATTGTCTTATTTGTTCTGTGTTAACACTGTTGACCAAGAAGCAGCATCCTTGGTACCTCCTGCTAATGTGTGAACATACAAAGTGCTGTTGTTAAAGTTACGAAAATTGGTAGTAGCAGCTTGGGAAAAACTCCCTGGATCATTGTGGATTTTCTTAACTTTTTGGCCATTTGTTAAAAGTGCAAGTGTTGGGGAAGAATTAATCACATGTGTGCCAGCATTCCCCAAGGGGTCAGAAGCTGGCAAATTCTACATATTTAATTGCAAAGCTAGTATAATTGAGTTTTCATAGATTTTCTGAAGAGTCACCATTGTTTTTGACCCCACAAAAGATGATATTGTATGAAAAAGTATACATTGACTAACTCAGGAGTTGAAAAGTAATTTGCAAAAATTGAATTCTTTGTATAAAGGAGTTTTAGGAATATTTTAACCAATTTATTTCTGATCTATATTCATTTTAGTTACTCAATTTATGGCCTATATTGGTTTCCGAGATCTGCCATAACATGATACAAAAATGGTGGCTCAAAACAACAAAAATTTGGGCCGGGGATTTAGCTGAGTTGTGCTGTTGCCTGCTTCGCAAGCGCAAGTTCCTGAGTTTGATTCCTGGTACCAAAAAAAAAAAAAACCAAACAAACAGAAACTTATACTCTATCTCACACACTAGAAGCCTGCTGGCAGAGGCCCATGCTGTATAGCTGGCTGGCTGTGTCCCTTGATCCCTCCTTCCTATGACTGTGCCCAGGGCCTTTGCATTGAGCTCTCTTTCGCCCCTCCCTTGTTGAGACATATCTTTCTAAATTGCTTAGGCTGAACTGGAACTTGAGATCCTCTTGCCTTGGCTCAGAGGACTAGGATTACAAGTGTGCACCACCTACCTGGCTTTGATTGGGCTCCTGCTAAATAAAAACAGAACAGTAATTGTCATTTTTATCCTTCTTCCTTGCATCAAGAAACAGTTTGAGGAGCTGGGCGCATGCCTGTAATCCCAGCATTTGGGAGGCTGGGGCAGGAGGATCGCTGTGAATTTGAGACCAGCCTGGGCTACATAGCGAGTTCCACGTCAGTCTCAACTACATCGTGAGACCCCGTCTCAAAAAAAAAAAACCAAAAAAAAAGAGAGAGAAACAGTTTGAGGAGTTGCCCCAAACCTATCAAACACGTCAGTCTCAACTACATCGTGAGACCCCGTCTCAAAAAAAAAAACCAAAAAAAAAGAGAGAGAAACAGTTTGAGGAGTTGCCCCAAACCTATCAAACATGTTGAATTAATTATGTTGGCCGGTAGCTTCACAAAAGAAGAGATAACCAGGCATAAGTAAATAACATTATAATGGAGTAGTGTCTACCCTGACCCCCAATCAAAAGACTTTACTAATTTATAGGATATGCCCGGACAGAGATAAATAAGTGACAACAAGGGATGCGTTTAACAAAATACAGACCACAAATTTCCTGACATCAGCAAATTCTGTTTAAAAAATCAAAGAGAGGAACCTATAAATTTAAAGCAACAGCCAACCAATTATGATGTATGGATCTATTTGGATCCTTGTTCTAATATGTTATAAAAAGAATTTTAAAAAAATACAACTTTGTGACATTGTGGAAAACTGAATAGACTTTCATATTAAGGAATTACTATTTGCGGCTTCTCTTTTGCTTTTCATTGTGATAATGGCATGAAGAATACTTCTTCCTAAAAGACCACTTTTTAAAAATAGTTAAACATTGAAATATTCACACAATGATACTATGTCCAGGATTTGTTTGAAAATGAAACTGAGGAGGTAATAAAATGGGCTGTAAATCCCAGGGATTTAGCTCAGTGGCACTGCGCCTGCCTTATAAGCACAAAGTCCTGAGTTCATTGCCTGGACCCCACCCCCCAAAAAAAAAATTGGCCATGAATTAACAATTCTAGAGGTTTAGATATGGTTATATGCTTATCTAGCATGTGTGAGGTCCTAGGTTTGATCCCAGGAACACAAAATAATGAGGAAAGCAGCAGTACTGTGAGAATATAACCGTCCACCCAAGTGGTATATAAGATAATTCTAGTCCCTGTAGTTAATTTCATTGAAATACAGTGTATTGTCTTATGTTTGTGCCTTTTTTCTAGTAAGATTTTGTTTCTTCAGAGAAGTGATTGTTTTCATGGTATAATATTTTCCTAGAGTATTATACAGTGTAGTAATGGGCCTTGACCACAGCTACCTGATAATAAGGCAAGTAGATAATCCAAAGGTGAAACACACAGAAAACAGACTCAGAAAGCTGAAGTGATAAAAGCATGTAAGAATGATGCCACAAATTTCAGGGACATAGTTTTCTTTCGTACAGAAAGGGAGCTGAAAGATAGTGGGAGGAGTTTAGCTGTGTCTGGAATGTATGTGATGAAAAGCAGAATATTCATATTAGTAAATCTTTGTAGATGTCCTTTTTATACTTTATGGAATGTAACAGTTGATTATAAATACAAACTAAAACTCTTAAAAGGCTAAATATTTTGTTCAAAATCATTTTGCTAATACTTGGAGCACCCAAAATTTGGTCTATTCTTGTGACTCCACAACCAGTGTCTATTTCTACTAAAGCATTTATCATTAATGACCCCCACTTAGAGCCTGTCACTTTGTGATTTCTGCAACCTTGAATTAAATTATTGCCTTATTCTAATGGCTCTTTTTTTGCCTGTACTTTGAAACTAAAAAAATAATTTAATATGAAGCCAGCTCTGTCATTTTTATAGGATAATATCTTCTCCATACTTAATATAATTACCAGTGATTTTTTTTTCTTACCTTTCGGAAATATGGTGTCGGTTTTTGTTTTTTCCACGCTGTCATAAATCATAGCTCTAAGAATAGACTTGTAAGAATTTTAACCTTTAATTTTTCACATTCCTTGTGAGATTTCTTAGCATTTAACAAAATGCCTCATTAGAGGACTGGAAGAACCTATACATTTTACTAGAAATTATCCTAAAGTTTAGGGGCAGTAATGAACCTATCATTTATCAGAAAAGCAAATTCTAAATGTTGACCATTTCATGACTGAACAAGGTAAAGGTAGATAAAGTTAAGATAAAGGTGGAATTAGTGGGAGAGTGTACAAATTGAGTACACTTTTATATATCCAGCTACACCAAACAGCATGGTGTGTGTGTGTGTGTGTGTGTGTGTGTGTGTGTGTGTATTTATATCCCCCCCCCCCCGTATCAGGGATCAAACTCAGGAACTTGTGCTTGCAAGGCAGCCAGGGGCACCACTGAGCTAAATCCTCAGCCCTCTGATGGATAATTTAACTTTCTTTTAATCAAAGAACTTGAGAGAATATCCCATCTCTTTACCTAGGCTTGCTTAGTTTTAGAACTCTGTTTAGCTTCTTTAATTTCTTAAAGAGTTTTGAAGTCAGAAAAACTTTTTAGATATGTGTGACTTTCTACCAGAAGTTTTCTCTTGCCGAGTGTGGTGACGCATGCCTGTAATCCCAGCACTCAGGAGACTGAGGCAGGAGGATTGCTGTGAGTTCGAGACCAGCCTGGGCTACATAGTGAGTTCCTGGTCAGTCTCAACTACCTAGTGAGGCCCTGTCTCAAAAAACAGAGACAACGACAACAACAACAACGACAACAAAAAACAGAAGTTTTCTCTCTCTATTATGTACTGTTCAAACTAATGAAGAATTTTTTAATCTGTGAAATTCTTATATCTGGACTAGAAATTATTAGTAAGCTCATAAGTACAGCATAACATTAGGGAAAACTCCAGCAGGCCTAAAGGATGGTTTTATTGGAAGTTATGCCACTTGGGTTTGATGCTAGTTTTTTCCATTTAAACAACTATGGCTCTAGCAACTAAGTTACTTAATGGTTAACTTAGTGTCATCATATAATGAAGACACTGTTGCCTCCCTAGAGGTATTATGAGAGATTAGAGAGCAAACGCATTGGTGAATTTGTTGTGTTTTATCCCTTCCCCTTCTTTTCTTTTTTCTTTTTTGGCACAAAAAATCAAACTCAGGGCCTTGCATTTGCAAGGCAGGCACTGCTCTACTGAGCTACATCCCCAGCCTAGCATATATATTACTCCCTTGCTATGTGTACTGTACATTCTTCTATATAGTTGGGTTTTTTTTTTAACTGGATCTCTCTGTAGTTTAGAGTGTCCTTGAACTCACTGCGTAGCCCAAGATGGCCTTAGACTTGGAGCAGTTCTCCTACCTCAGCCTTCCCAGTGCAGGGATTAGTCATGCTCCATCATACCTGGTGAATTTGTTAGATGTCACTTTCTTTTTTCATCATAACTAAATAACTGACTTATACTTTTGTTTTAACTCCTTTGTGTTTAGGTTGAGAGGCCCTTACCTGAATGCATGAGACCAGAAATGAGTTCAGATTTTAAGTTTTTTGGGAACTTGAAATGTTTGCACTGACTCTACTGGGGTATATCTCTAACTAAAGATATGAGGGGCCAGAGATTTAGCTCAGTGGGGCTGCTGCCTGCCTCAAAAATGCAAGGTCCTGAGTTTGATCCCTGGTACAAAAAAAAAAAAAAAAAAATCTGAAATACTGCAAACTCTGAAACTTTTCAGGCATTGCCCAGATTTTGGAATTTTGGATTAGGGATGGTCAACCTGTACTTTCTCTTGAATGAACATTAAATTTGATTTGGGTTAATGATAATTGATGTCGTTTTTAAAAAAATTCCCTTTCAGGCATTTCTTGCTGTTGTACTTAAATAGGCAGACTAGGCCTGTTCAAGTTTGTCTTTATTGACTTTGGAATCAGTCAAACTACAATGCTTGCCAAGTGCTGGGTGTTAAGCTCAAAGCCCGTATTGAACTGGTTTTCTCGTACAAAAGCTTTCTTGAAGCGTCTTTTAAGGGTTAGTGTTTCCTAAAATGTGTGTTTGGGATATAATGAATAAAGTAAGACAAGTTTCCAGTTAATTATGGCAGATTGAATACTTGTTTAATTCTCTGATCCTTCCTAGTATTCTACTAAAATGATAAAAATGTAATAAAAAGGGAAATTCTCAACCACAAAGACAAAGAGAACTAGAGAGGGGAGAAGACAGTGTGAGGACAGCACATTCTTATGTCCTAAGAATAGAAATGTGAAGTGATTTTGTGAGGGGGATACAAACTGTGTTAGCAGAAATATAGACCTCTCGTGGGGAGAATGAGTTAAGAATCAAGTCAGTTCACATACAGCCGAAAGTGGTGGTGGCACATGTGGCACAAAGGGCTGTTTGTATTATTGAAAGCTCTAGAAGGTGTGTCATTAGTGCACTGGAACCTTACAGAGTTTCAGCTTTGGAGTCCTCCATTATTTCTGAAGGCAGATAGGAGATGGTGCTAAAAAACCAAATTGATTAACAATTTAGAGGAACACATTCCTGTCTGAACAGGACCGAGGAAGGGAACTACTCTGCAAAAGAATGGAGGATTATCCTGTAGAGTCAGGACTGAATCCAGCTAAAGTCGTAATATAAATGAGGATATGAGTCAAGAGAGGGAAATTAAATTTTATGGTGAGGCTTCTAGTTTTCTGCCTAGGATCATTTTCCAAAGTACTGACAGTCTTATTTCTTATATTCCCCAAAATAGGAAGTAGGAGGCATCTTCTGGAATACTGATTTGCCACAACAGTTTAGCAAGTTAATTGACATTTGGGAGTCAGCCAATGAAATAACCAGATTTCCATTTCCCGATCCTACAAATGAAAACTATTACTTGAAAAGCTCTGACTCCCTCTAGCCCATCTGTACCATTTTCAATCAGTATTTTAGTGTCCCACAAGCATTTGAGGATTTCCAGATATTTGAGGGATGTCAGTATAAAAGATCAAAATAGAGAAAAAAGAAACCTCCTAATAGTGTCAAACAGGAAACAACCTGAAAAAACGTCATAAACATGAACAGCAAAAAAAAAAAAGCTAGAAATGTGGCTCAGTACAAAGGTCTTGGCTTCATTCCCCTGAACACAACAAAGAAGAAAAAGGGTGGGGGACACACAGACACAGAAGGAAGATGGAGTGGCCTTAGAGGTGAAGGGATATTTCATGAGTGATATAATAAATATTTTTTTAAAGCTTTTAGAGATTAAAAAATATAGTGGAAATTTAAAAATTACACAAGTAGATAAGCTTAAGAAGTCTCAGAAAGTAGGACTAAAAGAGTATTTGTCTATAAGAGGTTAAATATTAATTTAAGTTGTGGTCAAAATATGTGGTGAATATTTAAATTTTTAAAAATTTACTACAGCCAGAGACACATTGTCATTTATCTCTCTCAAAATACTTGCGCCTCACTTTCAGGAAAAGTTTTTAGGGGATTAAGTATAGTTACAATACATGTCTAAATATATTAAATACACTTACTGCTTTAAATACTCTTAACTCTGTCATTCTTGCCACTTTGTGAAGCGAGTCTGGAAGTCCTCTTTCTTGAATACCTTTACGAGGTGAGATTAAAAAAAAAAAATTACATGTGTCCTTATCCACCTTATTCCCCTAGATCTGGCACTGGTGCTGTGTGACTTCTCGCTTTTCACCAAAGTGAAGATGATCATGAAAGGTAAATGTTTTGAATGGATTTAGGACACTGAGGCAGCCACAACAGTGCAACTAAAGATGTGAACAGAGGACTTCCAGAACTGCTTCAGAAGGTGGCAAAAGGGATGGGATAAGTGTGTTCCAAGCAAGGGGGGATTATTTGAGAGAGATTAATGGCAATATGTCTTTTAAAGAATTTTTTAAAAAAATGTGAACATTTACCATATTTTTTGACCATCTAAAATCCTAAAAAGGAATCCTAGAGAAAAAAATAAAAGACAGAAAATTTTTCAAAAAAGTAACAGAAAGAAAGATTTCCTAGAATGGTAATACTTAGGTGTCCAGATACAATGAAATAATATGGTACATGGTAAATGAGAGAACTATACCAAGTATTTTATAAAATTCTAAAAGTCTTAAGGACAATAAAATCTTAGGAGAGGAAGAATAAATAAGCTACTACCAAAGGTCAGGTATGGTAGGGCTTGGTAGCACATACCTGTAACCCCAATATTTTGGAATCTGAGGCAGGAGGATTTAAATTTGAGGCCTACTTGAGCTACCTGTGTGTTCAAGGTTGTCCTGCACTACATAGCAAGACCTTGTCTCAATCAATCAAAAAAAGAAATTAGAATAAAGTGGTATAAAAACAATTAGAGTATCCTTTCTCAGTTGTAGAGGAGTCAGTGTGTCTTTCACTGACAAAAGTGAAGGAACAATCCGAGATTGAGAAAATGAATTTCAACCCTGGGAAAAGTTAAAGAGGCCCATCAGGATTATGGCAGAGGACAGTTCAGAATAACTATTGAACAGCAGCTTTGAGAATTAAAAGTTTAGACTATAACAGTATTAAAGGATGGTTATTTCCAAGAGAGTAGGGACAAATTTGATGGATATGTTGATGTGTTAGTGTGTAATAAGAGATCTACAATACTCTGGGAGGCTGAGGCAGGAGGACCACAGCCCAGGCTGAGCAACTTAGCGCTTTAGCAAGTTGGGGGATGTAATTCAGTATAAAAGCCTCTGTTTCACAGGTGGAGAGATCTATACTTTTGTTGTAGAGTTACAGAAATTAATGGTAGATACATAGAAAAGGGAATAGCTGTTACTAGCTTTAGGTAAAGCAAGAAGTTGTATGGGGAAAATATCCATGGTTTAGCTCCTATTAATAGTTATGTAGTTATAATGTTATATCATGTTGATATATCAAATATAGACAGTGAAGTCTGCAGAGAGGATGGGTATAGCAGTGATAAAGAGAAAACACCTTTATCTTCCATTTAAAAAACAATAAAACAGCCAGGTATGGTGGTATATGACCAGAATGCCATCACTGTGGGAGGCTGAGGTAAGAGAATTACAAGTTTTGAGTCCAGCTTGGGCGACCTGGCAAGGCCCTGTCCATCCATCCACCCATCCACTCATCCATCCATTCATAAAGCAAGCAAGCCGGGAGGTAGCTCAGTGGGTTCAAGCTTCAGTAAAACACACTAAAATACATCTGAAACAACAACTAAAAAAAATCCTTATTCATTTTTTTGTTTAATTATTTTTGTGTATCTTATGTATAAAGACATTAAGAAATAGTTAAACATTAGAAGAAACAAAGGATTTGAGGAGTACTTTTGGTAAGCAGAATTCAGGAGTGAATAGTCCTGTAATTTTTGTTGGTATCATGCCTGGAAGTGCTGCTTGCTCACATGTATTACATTCATAAAGATTACATGAAAAGGCACATCACTGCTCTCTAAAGGAAGATCAGCAAGGTCCATTTGTGAAATTATATGTAGGTGACCATGATTTAGAGAAATTGATCAGTATTGAATGTTTCAGAGGTTGTCATTGGAACCACTGAGTACTTAGTATGGCCAGAAAGTTCAACAGTGCTTTTCCTAGAGAACATTTTGTCTAATGATTGTTTCCTGAGATAGCCTTCCAAGTGAAAGCACTCTAAAACAGTGTATATTCATTAGGTATCGAGTATTATCAAGATAGTTCAGCACTGTAGGGTGTACAAGATACTATGTAACCCAGCACAGGAATTCTGGGAATGCAACTGGGTACTACCATACATTTTTACCCTTGGCTTCTTAGGGAATTTTGAAAATCATTGGATTATCTTTTAGATAGATATTAAAGGGATGCTATAGAAAGTTAGTTTCTGAAATAGTCATCTCCATTGCTCTTAACATCTAACTTTCATTTGATGCAACAGTTGGGGATGGGATGTGTGTGATGAATGATGGACTCTGAATCAAATAGCTGTTATATAGTAACTTAGAAGGAAATTAGTATGCCATTAAGTAGAAAGTAGGCTCTTTGCAACTGGACTAACAAGTGCACACAGAAATACACAATCATGCAGTTGCAGGGAACAGGCCCCCTGGTTAGTGTGATTTATTTTGTAGAAAGTTAGTGGAGTTTTTGAGAAGCAAACAAGGCTAAAGGCTAAAAAAATTTGTCAAAGGGCTGAGGATTTAGGTCAGTGGTGCCGTGCCTGCCTTGGCAAGGAAAAAAAAATGTCATTAGTACTGTTAGCATTTTCTAGAGTTTTGAGAAGGGTATTAGTGATAGTAGCAGTTTATTGTGAACCATTTATTGTTAGGTAGGGGTGATTAATAATAGAAGCTTGATGATAGAGGAAAACTAAGAACAAAATCTGTAAAGATGTCAATAGTTTTTGTGGTTTAGAGCCTGAATTTTTCTAATGTGGAAGTATTCATAGAAATTAAGCTTAGATCAGTTAAACAACAACAAAAGTCATAATGTGGAGAACAACATCACTATAGAAAGTATGTTTTTTTTTCCCCTTAAAGTAAGTAAAATTGACAAAATCATATTTTTACTTTTTTTTTTTTTTGTACTGGAGATTGAACTCAGGCCCTTGTGCTTTCAAGGGACAAAATCATATTTTGGCATACATACACATTGTAAGATGATTACTACAATCAAGCTAATTAACATATCTATCAGGTCATATACAGCAATTCTTAATTTCCTCCACTTAAAAACATTTCATGTTGCTGGGCGTGGTGGCACAGGCCTGTAATCTCAGCACTTGGGAGGCTGAGGCAGGAGGATCGCTGTGAATTCCAGACCAGCCTGGGCTACATAATGTGTTCCAGGTCAGGCTCAACTACATAGTGAGACCCTATCTCAACTTCCCTCCCCCCACCAAAAAAAAAATGTGCTCAGCAACTCATTCCCAGAGATAGATTGAATAGTTACATGAGCACCAGTCTGGATGATTTCTTGACATGATTTTCTTGACATATTGCTATTAATGTATTTTTGAAAATAAAAAACGGGCAGTGCCATATATATTGTTTTGTAACCTGCTTTCGTATCAACATCATGATTTAATGATACCATTAATAGCTTTACCCCCACCTCTGTGATCTTCTCCTATACCCCTCCCTCTTCTCACCCTTATTGCCAGTTTGTCTACTAATAGTCTCCCTTCTGCTCTCATGTCATCTCTTTTTGATTCCACATTCTAGGTAAAACCTGGTAAATGTCTTTTTGTGCCCAGCTTATTCTACAACATGATCATTTTGTAACCATTTTCTTGCAAATAACATAATTTTGTTCTGTGTGTCAGAATTATACTCCATTGTCTTTCTCTGTCACAATTTCTCTATTCTTCCATCAGTGGGTACTTAGGTCAGTTCCTTATCTCGGCTGTTATGAGTTGCCATAACAAACATGCTTATACTGGTATCACTATAGAATGCTGGCTTTAATTCCTTGGGCTATATACCAAGGAGTAGTCTAATTAGGTCATATGGTAGCTCTGTGTTTATTTGTTTGCAGGTTCTCTCTGTTTGGTTGCCGTAATTACTATACTCGTTTACATTTTTACCAGCATTGTAGGAGGAGGGTTCCTTTTCCCTTGCATCCTAAACAGCATTTATTGTTTTTTATGTTCTTGGTAATAGCCATTCTTATTTTGCTGAGATGGAATCTTAGTGTAGTTGTGATTTGCATTTCTCTAACAGCTAAAGATGTGGGGACATTTTTCATATCTTTATTGGCCATTTGTACTATTATGGAGAATTTCACTTACCATATAGTATTTGGGTGTGAGTGTTGGTGTGTATTGGTGTCTAGATACTAATCTTCTGTCAGAGTAGCTGTGAAGGGTTTTCTCCCATTCATTAGGCTGCCTCTTCTGTCTGTTGGTGGTTTCTTTTTCTGTGTAGAAACTTTTTAATTTGACATAGTTCCATTTGTTGATTCTTGGTATTATTTTTTCTCTTATTGGAGTCCTATCCAGATATTGCCAGTGCCAGTGGCTTCACGTGTTTCCCACTTTTTTCTAATGGTTTCAAAGTTTCAGATTTTATACTGAGGTCTTTGATCCATTTTGAATTGATTTTTTTACAGAGTGAATGAGCTAGGAATCTAGATTAAGTCTTCAATAACCAGATACCCAGTTTTCCCAGTGCTGTTTGTTAAAGAAGCTGCCTTTTCTTTAGCATACGTTTTTGGTGCCTTTGTCAAGAATCAGATGGCTGTAGTTGTATGGGTTTATGTTGTGGTCTCCCCACCACCACCCTGTGCTGGGGCTTGAACTCGGGACCTTTTGCTTGCCAGGCAGGTTTGGCACCATTGACCTGCATCCCTGGCCCAGTATGGATTTATTTCTGTGACCTCTATTCTGTTTCACTGATCTATATGTCTATCTGTCAGTACTGTACTGTTTTTGGGTTTTTGTTTTGTTTTTTGGTTTTATAATATAATTTGAAATCCAGAGTCTGAATTGATATGATACCTCTAGTCTTGGTAATTTTGCTTAGGATTGCTTTGACTGTTTTGGGTCTTTCATGTGTTCCTATGGATTTTAGGATTTTTTTTTTCTAGTCATTAAAATTTTGATGGGGATTACAATGAATCTGTAGATTACTTTTGGTAATGTGGGCATTTTACCTTTTTTTTTTTTTTTTTTTTTTTT